TTGAGGAAACAAATAATTCACTGGTATTACTTTGTATGGCTTCATATAATGCTTCTTCAAAACTTACACTTGTCGTGAATATATCGAAGTAATTTGCAGCCATTCTTGTCGAACGACTCGGGTCTAGCAGCGGATGCATTTTTCCCGCAAGAAATCTATATTTCCAAAATATCTTCCATTCAAACTGTAACACTTTTTTTTCGATAGAAATCGAACGTTTCCAATCCCATAATAAACAATTCATAAACATTATTTCAAAGCCCACTATGTTCCTCTTACATTAGATGATATTTTGAAGTGAAGGATCATAAAGCGGTATTTCGGTCAATCAATAACTTAAAAAATTTTCATTCAAATATGCAACTCATATACAGGGTGTCCCAATAAGGTCGGCGAGGTACGATATAACGGAAGCCATTAACTTTACAGCTTCTGAAAAAAAAATCTATTACTGAAATTGGCAAAGAGAAATTGATTCAAAATATTTTCAAGTTTCTCAAATGACCGGTAGGGGGCGAAGTTACCATGATAAAACAAGAAATTCAAATTATCTCAGGAAATCGCTTGGTGAGGTACTTTTTTGATAACGGAAATGAAAAGATCATTAATTTTGGGTCAGGTTGGTATATGGACTTTTTTTCGTATCTTGAATAATAATGGTGGGGGAAGCTTGTGAACAAAATATTTTTTGAATTGCTGTATCTTCCATACCCTTCATCCGAATTCAATCAACTTGGGCTCGTTTGAAAGATAATTTCACTCTTATTTCAAAACTGACTTTGTTCATGATCGCTAGTTCACACCGCGTCTTATAGAGGGCGCAGTTTACTAACCATTACTTTTTTTCGATTTTTCTCGAAAAATTCAAATGGAATGGTACATGTTCAAATCATTGGTTCAGAAGAACATCAAAATAGCTACATTTTAGCGAAAACCGCGATTCGATATCTTCATTTGTCTTCGAGTTATTCGCGAATAACTTATTGTCCATTGAAAAATCATTTCTTAAAAAGAATACACTATTTCTTCCCTTCAATCATGATATCTGTGAAAATAATTGAACTTCAACTGAGCTGGTTGCCAGGCAACCTTCATATTGAGGTATTCTGACATTTGTGCATCTGAAATTCATTTAAAAATGCCTTATTCTACCGCGGAAGCCTATGATATGTTGGCGGTTCATTTTCAATGTTTCGAAAATGTTGCTGTGGCAGAACGAGTATACGCAGCTAACTATCCTGATAGGAGACATTTTACTAGAAGAGTATTTTCCCGATTGGGTAGACGACTGCGAGAGACAGGACAGGTGCATCCTATTCCACCACCAATACGAAATCGGAACATTAGGAATGAAAATAATATTATTAATGTTCTTGCCTACGTCCAGGTAAGTCCTCATTCTAGCACAAGGACGATTGCACGTGACTTAGGAATCAGTAGAACATCGGTACATAGGATTTTAATGGACCATAACTTCCATCCATATCACACGTAGAATTACATCAGGCTCTATCGGAATTGGATTTTGAACGTAGACTAGATTACTGCTATTGGCTAAGAAATATGATTGGCGAAGAACAGAATTTTTTGTCACGCATATTGTGGACTGATGAAGCTACTTTCTCAAGTACTGGAGGAGTCAATTTGCATAACATGCATTACTGGTCCGCTGATAATCCCCACTGGATGCGTGAAGTTGACCATCAAAACCGATGGAGTATTAATGTGTGGTGTGGCATTTTCGACGGTCGGATTATAGGCCCGTTTTTCATCGATGAACATTTGAATGGAAATATTTATTTAGAATTTTTGAGGAACCAATTGCCTCTTCTACTCGAAGATGTTCCATTATTAATGAGGAGGGACATGTGGTTTCAGCATGATGGGTGTCCTGCACACTATTCTCGGGTAGTTCGTGACTTTTTGGACCAAAGATACCCGAACCGCTGGATCGGACGAGGAAGTTTGTTTCCATGGCCGCCTAGATCCCCGGATCTCACTGTGCTTCATTTTTATTTATGGGGCAAGCTGAAGGACATTGTTTTTCAAACTCGTCCAACTACTGCAGAAATCATGAAGCAACGTATTCGAGATGCTATTGTCAGTATTCCAAGAGTAGAAATTGAAAGAGCAGTATCAAGCACGCAACGCAGATTGAATCGCTGCATTGAAAATAATGGGATGCATTTCGAACACTTGATGTGAGGACATCATTTTATGCGTTCATTTTGAAGATGTTGTTCATGTCGAATTTCCTGAATAAATTATAATTTTCGTTATTGTAGTTCAATTGTTGACATAGTCTACATTTTTGTTTCTGAAGTAAGTGGCATTTAAATATTAATCCAAAGCACAAATGCAACAAGAGGTTAAGGAATGTAAGGATAACCTTCTTCACTACTAGAGCAAAGAATTAGGATTTTAATTAATTATTTTGTTCGCAAGGCCCACTCACTGAAGATACCATACATAAAAATTAGTTATTCGCGAATAACTTGAAGACAAATGAAGATATCGAATCGCGGTTTGCGCTAAAATGTAGCTATTTTGATGCTCTTCTTAACAAATGATGTGAACATGTATCATTCCACTTGAATTTTTCGAGAAAAATCGAAAAAAAGTAATAGTTAGTAAACTGCGCCCTCTATAAGACGCGGTGTGAACTAGCGACCATAAACAAAGTCAGTTTTGAAATAAGAGTGAAATTATCTTTCAAACGAGCCCAAGTTGATTGAATTTGGATGAAGGGTATGGAAGATACAGCAATTCAAAAAATATTTTGTTCACAAGCTTCCCCCACCATTATTATTCAAGATACGAAAAAAAGTCCATATACCAACCTGACCCAAAATTAATGATCTTTTCATTTCCGTTATCAAAAGAGTACCTCACCGAGCGATTTCCTGAGATAATTTGAATTTCTTGTTTTATCATGGTAACTTCGCCCCCTACCGGTCATTTGAGAAACTTGAGAATATTTTAAATCAATTTTTCTTTGCCGATTTCCTCAATAGATTTTTTTTCCCGAAGCTGTAAAGTTAATGGCTTCCGTAATATCGTACCTCGCCGACCTTAGTGGGACACCCTGTATACAGGGTGTCCGCTAAAAGGAGGTAAATCCATTAACCATATATTCCTTGAACAAAAACAAAATGAGTTTCTAGATACCATTTTTCATTTTAGCCCTTCATATTCGATATACAGGGTGTCAAAGTTGGAAATTAAAAACTGTTTTTTTTTTAATTACTCGCGTTTTTAATGAGATATTTATTTCAAAATTGGTACATCACTTCAGCACAAAGAGTTACATCGTGTGAAGAAAACAAAACAGGAAATAACTGTCAAGTATTCAAAATACTGGGGGTCAAGTACACACTTACCCTCATATTTTTTTTGTACGTGCGCTAATGACTTCCTATCTATTTTTCTTTAAATGTTCAATCATTTTTGATTGTTTGATGCCTATGCGGCTTACGGTAATCTCATAATGTTCACATATTCCTATTTATTTCGTCGAAATTGAAAGAGTGAGTAACTTTTCACGTTCGAAAAGGTAAATATCGAAATACCGGGTGCTAAGAGTGAATGTATTGAAATAATTTTTACAAAAAAGAATTGATAAAAATTCAACGCGTCAAAATGAATTGCTCGATATGACCTCCAATTTTTTTAATACACATGCGAGCCCTTTTAATTAAAGAAAGTCTTAGCCTCTGAAAAATATGTGACTTATACACAAAATCTTTCATACATCCCCAGACAACCCTGATCTGCTATTTCTTTCATCAAGCAGCTATTAAAATCATGGATATAATTTCAAAAACCTTTCCGAAAATATTTTTTTAAATTATCTTCGATTTTATGTCCCGTTCGTTCGCGCCCGACATACCATACGAGGGGAGGCTCGAAAATATTTTTTTTTTTAAATTCCGCACCGCCTCAAAACCGCTCAAACCGATTTTAAGAGAATTTTAAAAAATTTGCTGTTCTCGAAAAAAATCAATCAAATAATTCTTTAAAAGGGTGGGCTCGTCAATCGACCCCCCCCCCCCCATCCTCCTAAAATTATTATTCACCCGAAATTCCAAAAAACATTTTTTTTTATTTGACCGCGTTAAAATTCACGCCGTTCGATTGGCAAAAAAAAAATTATTCGACATGTGTCCTCACAAGTTCTTTTTGTTTTGTGAAAATTATTTTTATACATTCGCTATGAGCACCCGGTATTTCCATATTTACCTCTTCGTGCGTAAAAAGTTACGCCCTTTATTTCCAATTTCGACGAAATAAATAGTGAACATGTGAGATTACCTTAAGTCGCATAGGCATCAAACAATAACAAGTACTTTTCGAATTATCTTGAAAACAAATTATTTTATCGAAATTTTACAGGAATCCAAAAATACTCAAAAATGATTGAATACTTGGATAAAAATAAATAGGAAGTCATTAACGCACGTACAAAGAAAATATGGGGGTAAGTGTGTACTTGACCCCCAGTATTTTCAATGTTTGACAGTTATTTTCTGTTTTGTTTCCTTCACACGATGTAACTGTTTGTGCTGAAGTGATGTACCAATTTTGAGATTAATATCTCATAAAATACGCGAGTAATTAGGAAAAAACAGTTTTTAATTCCCAACTTTGACACCCTGTATATCGAATATGAAGAGCTAAAATGAAAAATGGTATTTAGAAACTCATATTGTTTTTGTTCAAGGAATATATAATTAATAGCGGACACCCTGTATATATATTTGGAATCAGAAAAAAAGGCTCTATGGACATGTCGGAAAATATATAAGGTGTTCCATTGAAAAAGTCGAAGTTGGTGTATTTTCCAGAAAAACGAATTACCCTGTTTATAAAACAACTTCACGAAATGAAAGTTTAGGTCGTTTTTTTATATCTCTGAAAACAAAAGAGTTAAGGGGAAGTTCCATTTTAAGAGGCGCACCCTGTACATAGTATGTTACAGATACAAACTTTATTGATTTCAGATGCTGTTGCTCGAAAAAGTGGAAAATTTGAGAGAGGAAGCAGAAGATGTGTTAGATGGAGTTGAAAACCCCAAGCAAGTTTCGAATCAGACAAAATTGGATTAGAACATTATCTAATTTATTTTCATTGATATAAGAATATTATTTGTGATAGTTATTAATTCAACGTTTTTTATATAAACAAGGAAGTAATGTTAATTTTGGTAATGTTTTTTTATTCCTGATGCTACTTTGCTTCTTGAAGTCTAAGAAGTAAAATAGGTTATGGGAGAAGTCCTTCAGCGTGTTCCTGAAACCATATTTCTGTAAGTCGTTGATGAATTTGTCAACATCTCCAAATCGACTTTCTACCTCAGCAATTTTCAGGATTCCACTGAAAAATAAAATAAATGTGATGTATTTCATCAAAATAAATTCTGAATTATGTAATCAGCAATTTCTACAAGATAAAAATAAAATCGAGTTAGTGCGAAAGATTCACAGTAAGTATTTGAAATTATTGCCTTGGTTATCATCAGTGAATAAATTAAAGAAACTACCAAAGCCGTCAACAGACAGAGTCCAGCGGAATCTACCAGTGACCACTCCACACTCCTTGTGATGTAAGTTATCACTGACCAAGTCCAAGCAAGACGCAATGATCTGAGAATAATGGCCTTCAAACCATCGCACCAGATCATGACAATCTAGTATTTTATGAAGTTCTGGGAGCGGCGTATGTAGTCTGAAAAGATACTGCACAGTTCTGCCTGAGAAAAAAATGGCTAATTCCGGATTTCTGATATAAATAGGGATATTACTGTCAGTATGTTTCGTGATTTGAACAAGGGTTTACAAGGGGTTGCAAGGGTCGCGAGTTTTTGCAGCACACATGTAACGTATAGCTCGTTTCTGTATGACGAATATACTTTTCAATAGGTTATCGTTTCACCTTATCCAGAACGCAATACCGTATCGTAGATATGACTCAATGAGAGAGTGATACACCATCTTAGCCGCTTCAATTGTTGTGAGATTAGCTTTACTGCGTAACATCCTGAAGATATTTTTTTTCTAAAAACTGTTCTAAAATGTTATAATATTTCTTCTGAATAACATAACATGATCTTAGAATTTAAATTTACAATCAATATGGATTCCAGAGCATTTTATACAGTTTTTATTCTCAATGTTGCCAGAAGCAAATGTCAAATCATCAAGAGAGCACATTTGAATGTTATCAGATTTGTTTTTTTAATATTGAACGGGAGTTTATTAGATTCGCACCACTCTGTAATTTTAATTATATCTTCCTTTATAATGTTATTCAATTCAGTACTATTTTTGCTATGCCATATGATAGTCGTGTCGCCTGCAAATGTGAACTTACTTGAGATATTGATATTGGTCATATCATTCACGTATGGCAAAAAAATAACTTGACCAAGGACCGAGACCTGAGGAACCCTAAAACATACTTTTTGTGTTGATGAAATTTCTTCTCTAGTTTTCACAATTTGTTCACGATTATATAAATATTACTGAATCCACTCATAGGAGAGTCCCTTGATACCATTGTAATGCAGTAAGTAATATTCCATGGTCGATACAGTCAAAAGCTTATGACAGGTCGCAGAAGAACGCTGCAACAGCATCACCGCCATTGATCTCAGTGACCTCATACAATAAATTGAAATTAGCATCCGTTGTATTTTTATTGTTTTGAAATCCAAATTGAATTTAGCTTATAATATTATGTTTGGAGAGGAAACGCATTATTCTTATGTTTACCAACTTTTCGATTATTTTTGCAATAGTGGGGATAAGTGCAATTGGACGGTAGTTGGAAGGTTCGTCAGGATCACCTCCTTCATTAAGAGGTATTATACCTGAATTTTGTAATATATTGCAAACAGCGTAAATTATTTGATGACGTTTTGATGCCTTTAGTAAGCCATTGTTTTTTCTATTATTTTTTTCATTCTGCGCACTGGGGAAGGAATGTAGCAGGCAGTTGTAAAATTCAACAAATAGCTATTTCTTCTAGTAGTAAAATACTATTCCAGTCGATATTTGAACAATTTAGATTAAATTAATGTAGGTATTAATATATAAGTAGAATACCAATTAGGTACTTAGTGAAAATGTATCATCAGGAAACGAAACAAAGAAAAATGGTGTATTATACACCGTAAGAATATTATATTTAAGCTCTCGGTTTTTTGTCTCCCTCTGCAACGCGTCAACTTCTCATTATCTCATCATCTGTTCGTCGTGAAAAGAAGACTTATTATGACTGTTTATTCGAATTCGAAAAAAATTATGGGAAAACCTGAAGAATATCAATAATAAGAAAAATGATACCGATTAACCAAACTAGTGATCGCTTGACCTCTAGACAGTACCCTAAAGTTTATGGTTATGCAGATGATACACAACTATATACCAACCTAAACATCGACAACTATGGAGCTATTCAAAGTCTCATCAATTCTGACCTACAAACCATTACTCATTCAGCTATGCAACACAATTTGAAATTGAACAAGAATAAATGTCACTTGATGCTTTTCGGTAGTCGAAAGAATAGAGCTATTGTTCCACAAAATCTCATAATTAAAATTGATGACATAATCCTACCTGTTGTGAATTCCATTAAAAACCTGGGAATTATTTTGACTGTGACCTAAAATTTGATTTGCATTTGAATGATTTGTTGAAAAAATGGTTTGGCACTCTAAAACTCATTTACTCAAATAGGCATTATTTCAGCCATTCAATCAGGAAACATCCCACAGAATCGTTGGTCTGATCACGGTTCAACTATGGGGATATTGTGTACAGCAATCATTTAAATAAATTTGATTTGAATCGAAAACAGAAAGTACAGAACTTCTTTTGTAGACTGGTCTACTCATTAAGAAAATATGATCATGTCTCTAGCAAAATCATAGAACTGAACTGGTTGACAATGAATACTAATAATAATATTTGCAACTTTGTAAACAAAGTTCTAACTTCTAAAACTCCCTCGTCACAATATAATAAACTGTTTCCTAGGTCAATCTACAACTCACTGTTGATTAATTGTATGCAATTTTCGAAAACCAAAATAAGAATCATTGTGGAAGAACACTTTTAGAATACTATAACATGAATTCGAATGCCCTTTCTAGAATTTTATCCGATCTCATTTCAGCCTTTACTTACCTCGTCACATTAATTCATAATGCTTAATTATTGTGGACCTGGGAATAAACTTGAAGAATACTACTAAGAGGAAAAGGTGTTAACGAACTAGATGAGGCTTGCAAACAACACGATATAGCTTACTCGAATTTCAAAGACATAGAAACTAGAAATATTGCTGATAGGCGTCTGGCCGAACTAGCTGGACAGCGTTTCAAAGCATCTGATGCTGGTGTGGGTGAGAAAATCGCAGCATTAGGGGTTACGGAAGCTATGAAAGTGAAAAGCAAGATGGGTATGGGACTGTAACGGAAAAAGGAGGTATCACGGAGGAAAACCCTACGGAAAATACTAAAAAACAGAGAATCATTCCAGCGTCTGAAGGATTTCTACCATTTTTACTCCCACTTTTAAGAGCACTTGGAGCAGTAGGTGGAGGTGCCGCGGGTATCGCCAAAGCGGTTAACGATGCGGGAGCTGATCGGGAACGACTAGCTGAAGAACAGCAACATAATCGAGAAATAGAGAAGGCAGCTACTGGAAAAGGACTATATTTGAGACCATATAAGGGCTATGGCTTGTATTTAAAGCCCTACGCGCCAAAAACCTCTGGTGAAGCTACGTCGCCGACAACTGACTAATATTGTCTTGGGCAAATATGTGAGAATTTTCCAAATACCATAGGTACTTTAGAGGAATTTTTATGAGAGATATCCTTCCTGAAATAATAAGAAAGAACGAGTCTGGAATCTTAAATCTAGACTCGAATGTAGGTGCAGGAACACATTGGACTGCTTATACCAAGCGTGATAAAGAAATAGTTTATTTCAATAGTTATGGAAATTTATATCACTTTTAGAACTGATTCAATCATTCATGCGACGGTGGAAATAATGATGTAATGAATAATTATGATTCAGTAAAATCATTTAATTCATATCAAGGTGGGAAACATTGTGTACTTTTTTTATATAACCAGAATTTGTAAAATGAAGTGTCATTTGAAGTTCAACTCACAATCATCGATCGTCATTTACGATTTTGATCCGTCAATATATTTGAATGATTAAAACGAATATGAAATTGGGTTAGCTAATTTTGACAGTTTCAACTCAATATCGAATATTGATAATACGAATAATATCTTCGTCTGAGTTATATTCTTAGAAATTACAAATGTTGAAATCGAAAAATCGATGAATATACCCTCAAATATTCCCCGATTTTCTAATTTCAACATTTGATATCCCAAGAATATATCCTGAATATCATGTTGTTTTATGGATGATTAGGGATGAAGCCAATGCAGAGCACTGATTTGTCAGAAACGTCTCAGGCATGCTCCATAGAAAGAGCTATGTAGAGTCATAGTCATCACTGTCATCTCACAGGAGCATATCTTATTGAAGTCTGATGTTGCATCACTGATACAAGTCTATAATTCCATTTGAGGCGGGCATTCATCTATGCTATATCTCTGATAGGAACAACTCTGTGATGAAACATGGAATGGAAGGTATGTTCTACAGTTAAGAAAATGTGAGTTAGTAGGTAGAGTATCTCCACAATCATCTATTTTGTCCACAACCAGCTACCAAGACTAGTTAAAATTTCATAAAAAGCTAACATAACATAACCTAACCTCTCAAACCTCTCAACTGAAGTAAGGGGGTCCAAATCTAGTACAAGAAGCCTGTGGTACCTTGTAAGATCTTCTTTGTAGGTTATTGAGGAAATTAAGCCTCATTGACACTCGGGTAAGTGTGTACTACTCATTTCATAAAATAGAAAGTCATTAGTGCTATTTTCTGTGCAATCTGACCATTGAGGGGGCTGAAATATTTAGTTTGAAGTTATTTCTCAGAACTCAAGTGAGGCAGAGTTGCCTTTTGACACTTAAAGGGTACCTAAGTCACTGTTCAGGGGTATATTATAGTCTGTTGATAGTCATACAAAGCTCGAGCTCTGATTGATTAAAGCAAGGGGACCCTGTGAGGGCACCTCAGGGCATAAAGTTTCTAGTCACACTAAAGTTGTGGCCCTTGTTCATAGATAGAACTTCCTCTCGATGGAATTATTGTGTACATTCTAGTACTCAGGTTTCATGCAAAGTTGTCAACGTTTCCTAATCATCTCCACTATTTATTATGATCCAGATTATAGATTTGTCGACTATTGTGAGTAAAATATTTCCAAATGATATTCAATGAAATTGAAGATTGCCATTTTGATAAGCTTACTTCACAAATAGTGGTCTATTGCTGTTTAGGATTTGGAATATTGACATTCTGTGGACGTTATACAGGGGATTTCCAAGTGGGTTCATCACGTAATCTTCAATTTAATGCTAATAGCAATATATTTTTGAGATATTGAGATAGGCAGCTATACAGGGTGAAATGAACTGAAGTTTTAAGAGTATTGCTAATATTTCTATATTGGATTTATTGAGGATAATAAAGTCATATATTCGAAATGTTGAGAATATTTGAATTGGTTATATGTTATACAGGGTGAAATCATACAAATTGAATTAAAGGGGAAAGTATACATGTTCTGCTCAAGATTCCAGATCACTCCTTGATATAATATTAGAGTCAATTTCAATTTAATGGAGATTTAACAGTTTTTGTTTGTTAATACCAACCTGGGTACAGAAATATTGTCAAACAAGAAAGGAATAGTGTGAAATTTAGCTTATTTTTTCACAGGCGGTTATTTGTTGTATGTCAGATCATATTTCACATCATGCTTGGTGCTAAATTCTGGAGGCTCAAGATTCCTGGTTATTCGATCCAGCTTCAGCCGAACTTTGATTAAAGACTCCAACTCCTGTTAGTCTCAGATATAATCACCATCAATCAATCGTCAGCTCTAAGAACAGTCAGTCTACAATCTGACATCTGACATCATGACATCTGACTTCGTCGTGGGATTCGCACGCAAGTTTTTGTTACTGGAGAATTTGACATAAAATTTGATTAATAATTATTATTATTATTGTTATTATTGCTTGTTTCTCGACATTGAGTGTCTGATTTCACGCATCTCATTTATTTTTCATACATCTAGGTATACCTAACAGCGCTTATGCATTAGGCTTGGAAAGTCGACACACCCCTATTTATAGGTTCTACCCTATAGCTACTAAATTGAGAACGTGACATTATTTTCTAACACCACTGTACGCTGAATTGGCATCAGTATTCTCTCGACATTTGAAATTGTAAGGTTTTGTACCACTACCTTGAATTGTTATTAAACTGAAATTGTTATAATTGTACCCAGTTATTTATTTTCATTGTCAACTCCATTTGAGAAAATTTGGTGAGTTGATTGGTAATTAAGGATATTTGCCAGGGGTAAAATTCATTTAGCACCCACTTATTTGAGAATTTTCATTCACGATTTATTTTCTATTCGAACACCTTCACTATAGCGAGCGACAAACTACCCCATGTGTCATCTGATCTGACATCCGGTTTATATGCGACTCTAGCTAGCAACGTTGAGGTAGGTCGCACGTGCATAACAATTTGTATGTTCAATGGTGTAACTAGCATTTATAAACCTAAGTGTGTTAATTCATCTCGGTTCACTCTATTACCTACATGCTGGGCTCATTAATGACATGCAAAAGTTATAATATAAGGGCAATATGAAATTGTCAGTGTTGCCAAACTTTTGGCGTCTCTTGTAGCTCAATATACTCAAAATAATCCCACTTACTTGTCCTTCATAACCCTATGTGCTTCTATCAAGTAATCATCGAGATTTGTACCCATAAGTGATAGACAAAACACTGCTACATCGATAACGCCATCTTCCAACGGTAGTTTGGACATATCACATGCAGTAACTGAATCATTAACTGCTATAAGATCAAAAGAAAATACTTTTTGTGGTATTGACCTCGATAGCCTTGCATCCCCGCAACCCAAGTCAGCTACTATAAGAGTTTTCGGCCTGAAATGAAAATAATGTTATTTCAGAACGGTTAATTCATAGATATTCAGAAATTATTTCACATAATTCATCATGAACAGATAGAGATAGGATATAGTCCAAGAATGACGACCCTCAGGGATGCTGAAGGCCATCATTTGTGGACTAACCTAAGTATATGCATTATCGTGGCGATGTGTAATTTTTTAAAGCAGCTTGTAATATGTCGTGTGTGTAATCTAGGGTGTTGATTACTAGGATGTCCAGTTTCATAGAGTAGTTTGGATGGAGCCTAGGGATTTCGATGAGTATATCTAGATATTTAGTCCATTTCACCTTCTCCTCGGAAACAATTGATTTGATGGTCGAGGAAGACTATACAGGGTGTTGGTAAATAAGTGCGACAAACTTCAGGGGGTGATTCCTTGTGATATTTAAGGAAATAAAGATCATATAAATATGTGTCATAATTTGCTTCATTTTCGAGACATAGAATATCAATATTTCCATGAAAAATCGTTTTTCTCTTCATAACTTAAATGTCATTTTATCAATTTCAATATAAATGTGTGGTTTTGTCAATAGTAAAATGGAGCTTCTTTTGGTGTAATTAGATTCAAAAGAATATTTTCAGTGGCATCCCAGCGGGTCAATTTATCGATAGTTATGGTGAATATCAACTTTCTAAACTGAAATAAAAACCAGTCGCTCGGTTTCAACTTCCCAACATCTCCCTTGTACAGGGGTTGATCAACACATTGGTGTCAGGTGTGGGGTTAATTTGATTAATTTACGGGTGTTTTAAAAGGGTTGTTTTATGAGAAATATTGAAAATTAGGAGACATAAATTCAGAATTACTCGAAAATTTTGCGATATGTTTTGTTTGGAAGATTTGAAGGTACCTAACCTACAGTTTTTAAAATGATTACTGAACAGTGTGAGACTTCGATCCGACTTTACCTGCTCAGATACCCGCAGTGCTGGTACGAGAAATAATTTTGACAGTGTTAATAAATTTGGAGCTAATACCATTTCATAGTGGACAAACCAACGTAGATGATTGCATTCAGAATATTCAAGAAACCGCAATAATAACGAATTGGGCAGAAACGTAGAAAATGGGCTAGGTTAAAATTGAGGGGATTAGCTAAACATTTTGTTGTCCTGATTCGAAAGTAACAAATGACTGGGAACTATTGTTTGTGTCGTATATCCAAAAATACTTTTGAGTATCCCACTGGCTTCTGCGCAAATTTCTCTATTTGAAAGGTCAGACATAGTTCTTCGCGCAACAGTATTTTATATAACTATACTCATACTATACAGGGTGTTCCTCAAAGACATGCTGATATTCGACGGAATGATTCTTTGACTCATTTCAAGAAGAAAACTTCATATGAACGTTTGTCCTAAAAGTCTTTACTTTTGAGATACGGGGTGATGAAGTTTTGAAAAATATTCAGTTTTTTGAAAATAACTGAGACAATATTGAATACATCTTCATGAAATTTTGTACACGTCTTTTATGCATCAAGGTGCATTTTCAGATGTACAAAAATGTTCATCTACCAGTGGCACCATTACGGGAATATTATTGTTTATATACAATAAAGTACTTAGTGTGTAAAAAAAGGAAAATTAAACCATGGATAACACAGGGTCTGCTGAATTCAATAAGTCATAGAGACTATTTGAAAAAGTTGGCTACCAAGAATCCAAATAATGATGAACACATAAAGTTTAATAAGGTCTCCATGTAACAATGTTGATACCACATAAAGTTTAATAAGGTCTCCATGTAACAATGTTGATACAAAACATATGTTTTCTGAAACACTCGCATGAAGCCTTATTAAAACCTCTACTACACATAGTAAACTTAATTCTTAAAAATGGTATACAGGGTGATTCAAAAGTAAGCGGCATCCTTTCAGAGGCGTATTCCTTGCATGAAAATAAGGCAAAAAGTTCCTATTGATAAGGATCCGAAAATGCTTCCTAAGGGAGCTACGGCCCTTTGAATAGGACACCTCAAAGACGGTTTTTTCTCTATAACTTTAAAATCCTTCACAACAAATTTTTAAAAATTGGTGTACGGCATAAACATTCGATGGTAAATAGGACTCCGTATTCGAAATAATTTCCAAACGAAATCACAGTAACCTGAATATCCGGAGAAGAAGGGATATTTTTACACTTACCCTCTCCCGCATGTGACGCCCCTGAATGAAATTCTGAAATTTCGAATACGGAGTCCTATTTACCATCGAATGTTTATGCCGTACACCAATTTTTAAAAATTTGTTGTGAAGGATTTTAAAGTTATAGAGAAAAAACCGTCTTTGAGGTGTCCTATTCAAAGGGCCGTAGCTCCCTTAGGAAGCATTTTCGGATCCTTATCAATAGGAACTTTTTGCCTTATTTTCAAGCAAGGAATACGCCTCTGAAAGGATGCCGCTTACTTTTGAATCACCCTGTATATCCTAATATTCTTGAAAACTCAGTGATCACACCACTCCATAAAGGAGGTTCCAAAAAAACAGTAATTATAGACCAATAGCCGTTACCAGCAATGTCAGCAAAATTATTGAAAAATGCATCAAGTTAAGACTTGTCTCCTATTTGGAAAATCATGAACTATTATCAAGTCACCAATATGGATTTAGGCAAGGACTTGACACTGAGGATGTGATCGTCAGGGTAATAGACTTCATATCAAAAAATCTTAATAATGGTAGAAACTGCTTATTAATATTCCTGGTCTTGGCAAAGGCCTTTGACACTGTGTCGCACAGCATTTTACTAGGCAGTATGTACAATTTGGGTATTAGAGGTATTGCCTTGGACCTGTTTAAATCCTATCTCAATCAGAGATCTCAGCAGGTCAAAGTTGGAGATTCTATAAGTGAGTGTTGCCTGGTAGAATGCGGTGTGCCACAGGGCACAGTGCTAGGTCCAGTCTTATTCACCATCTATACAAGGTGATTCTAAAATAGGTGGTCAAACTTTAGGAGCATATAGAGTGGGGAAATAGTTACGAAAACCTCCGTAACATTTTTTTCTGAAGTGACCCCCAAGAAAGATACAGCCCTTTCAAAGGGGGGCCTCGGAGAATGATTTTGTATTATTATCTCCAACACCTTGTATAATGAAGATCTGAAATTTTGTCCATCCACTTACTATTCAGTGCCGGTTCGAATGGAGTTAAAATCACCTCAAAATTAAATACAGGGGTGTGTCAAAATAGGGAGGTAGGGGGTAAAAATAACCCCAACTTTTTTGTTCTTCGCAATTTCAGTTTTTTATATGAAATTATGAAATCTCAGGGCTATTTACATAAAAAAGGTACTCTTGTTGCATCTCGATAAAATGAACTATTAGCGAATAAAATTTATTTTTTCAAGATTTCATTCATTTTGCGATTTTGGTATGTACTTAAGTTTAATTATCTAGGTCAAATCTCACAACTGAATTTTTACCTACTTCGATTCGTCTGATCAGCTCAGAATCTGGCAGATGACAGTTGACAATGCGTTATGGCGACTCCAATGTGGCTGACCAGATTTGTGATTATGGTTCGATTCGATTCAAAATTAGTATGTGAGGGTTTGTGGGGTTGGAAATTAAAAATTCGTTGTCGGAATTCATGAAATCAAAATAGCCGACGAGTTTTGTTATTATAGACTGATCCTATTGAAAATAAAATAAAAAATATTGTTGAAAACAAGCTTTCATTACTTTAACTATTGAAATAAAAAATTAAAGATGAAATAAGGTGAACAAAGACAAGCCTTTATTCAAATGCACTGAAAATGAGAGAAAAATGCTTTTGGATATCTCACGTAAATTATTCTGTGAGTAAAGTATTCGATAGCTTACATATCTGAAGAAATCTTCTTCCACTACCTGAAGCATTTCGATAGAAACATTATTGTCACTGATTTGTTCTACCTTATTTTATTACATTTCAGTTCAACATCACCCCAACTAAATGAAATGTAGAATATAACCCTGAGTTAGAGAGCATAGCAGTAAATGGAGAACTCTTTGTGAAGTGAAATGATGATTAACCATCAAGTCATTAGAAAATTCTTATTACGCTGAAGAAATGTTGCGGATCTCTTACTATTTCATCATGATAGAGCTTGCCTTTCTCCAGAATCTTACTAATCGAAAACTTCATCATCCCTCTCCTACATTCCTGCTCTGCTCTCTAACTCAGTGTTGAATTCTACGTTCCATTTCGTTGGAGTTCTGTTGTATGAAAATGTGATAAAATAAGGTAGAAAAAATCAGTGATAATAATGCTTCCATTCAAATGCTCCAGGAAGTGGAAGAATATATCTAGAAGCATTTTTTTCTCATTTTTAGAGCATTCACCTTATTTCATCTTCAATTTTTTATTTCAATAGTTAAAATAATAAAAGCTTGTTTTTAACATTATTTTTTATTATAGAATTTTCAATAGGATAAGACCATAATCACGAAACTCGTCGTCTATTTTTAATTCATGAATTCCGACAACGAATTCAGAATTCACAACCCCAAAAACCCTTACAAACCAATTTTGAATCGAATCGGACCATAATCACAAATCTGGTCAGCCACATTCATGCCGCCATATTTTTTTCTATCAAAAAGTCCATAACGCGTTGTCAACTGTCATTTGCCAGATTCCAAGTTGATCAGACGATTTGAAGTAGGTAAACATTCAGATGCAAGATTTGAACTAGATAATTAAACTTAAGTGCATACCAAAATAGCAATTTAAATGAAATCTTGGAAAAATAAATTTTATTCGCTAATGGTTCATTTTATCGAGATTCAACAAGAGCACCTTTTCTATGTTAATAGCCCTGAGATTTCATAATTTTATGTAAAAAAACTGAAATTGCGACGAACAAAAAAGTTGGGGTTATTTTTACCCCCTACCTCCCTATTTTGACACACCCCTGTATCTAATTTTGAGGTTATTTCAGATCTTCATCATACAAGGTGTTGGATATAATAATACAAAATC